TTTTATTAAAAAATTTAAATATTAAAAAAATTAGTAAAAATCTTCGCAGGCAAATTTGCCTGCATTACAATTTAAGGAATAAGTGTGCCAAACTACTCTACCTTGTTAAAATAAATCAACATTTTGCTTATAAATGGAAGGTAACTTTTATAGTGATTCATTCTGTTTTCAATATCCTTGTGAATATGGTGAAGAGCATTTTGGTTACCATTTAGAGACAGATAATAAATTTTTGTATGAAGATATAGAGATATTTTAACTAGAAGAACCAATTAATAATGATGATTTAATTCAATATGATAATGATGACGACAATGATGAACAAATAAAAAAATTAATATTAAATACAGAAAATGAGTTTGATACATAGGATCTAGCTAAAAAATACCTTGATGACTATACAAAACAAGAAGGCTTCACTATACGTAAAAGAAGGCGTACAATAGATCCAAAGAATAATACCATTATAAGATGTCGAACATATGAATGTTCTTATGCCGATACATACGAACCTCAGAAGGCAATTCTAGAAGAGGACAAAAGGGAATGAGATTCACATATGACTGGGTGTTCTTGGCACATTATTCTTGCTTTTCCTAAATCGGCTAATAAAATTCAGGTTAATAGTATAATCGGTAAATATAATCACAAGATAAATCCTCTTATTACTGAAATAGCACCAAAATTTAGAAAATTAATGGGCGAAATGCTGGAAAAAGTTAAATTTTGAACTATTCATGGGAGAATGGGTATAGCGACTCAATATAATCTACTAGTTGCATCATTTCTTCATAAAGTAATAAATAAAAAAGATTTAAGTAACGCTATACAAAGATTTAAAAAGCAAGTAAAGCCAGATAAAAATGATGCATATAATATACTTACTGCATTATATTTAAAAAAAGATAACAATCCAAGATGAATAATAAAGCCCCAGTTCGAGCCAAATAAAAAAAGGCTAAATTCGTTGTTCTGGATGTCCTCTGGTCAAGTTAATGCTTATAATAGATATCGGGATGTTGTAATCATTGATACAATATCAAAAACTAATCAATTTAATATGATATTAATGTTAGTTATAGCCGTTGACAATAACTTTCAGAATTTAATAGTAGCTGCTGTGCTTTTAGAAGATGAAACAGAAGCAACATTCACATCGGTTTTCCAAGAATTAAAAAACTCTTGTGATACTGCTCCAATAGTCTTATATTCTGATACTAATCCAGCATTAATATTGTCAGTAAGAAATAATTACCCAGAGACACGACATCTTCACTGCATTTTTCATATTAATCTAAATTTAAAAAAGAAGCTTAAAGGAAAGTTGAGAGAACAGTTTGAATCATTTCGCTTTAAATTTTTAGTAATGCGTAATTTGCTTTGCTCTAATAAATTTAAAGCCCAATAGAATATACTTATCGATGAATACCCGGATAGTAAAAACTATCTTATAAGAACTTTATATCCTTGTAAGAGTAGTTGGGCCAGTTATGCGACTAATAGAAACTTCATTACTAGAATTCAAAGCACATAGCGGGTAGAGGTATATAATAAAATAATCAAGAACAAGCTGACCAGAACTTTACATTTGGCTGATGTTGTTGAAGAAATTCAAAGAGTCTTTAATAATCAATCAAAAAAAGCAATTTTAAGCAAATTTAAAAATGAAATTCCAACAAGAGGGATGTCAAGTATAAGTAATAAATACTTTCCCGGACTAGATACAATATTAAAAGAGTATTTAACATCACAAATTCTTCAAAAGCAGCATGATCAAATGGCTCAATCACTATACTATGAAGTGTCTTTAATTAATGACTGGCAATCACTACTGGAGGTAAGGTTTATTAAGTTAGTTAAGAAAATTATAGTATAGCAAAAATAGTAGCTAACATATTGTTAATAAACTTCCCTTTGGTATAGATGACGGATGATTTTTATCAACAAGATATGGCCAGAAAAGATGATTATGATCAACCACAATTATTATTTTCATCATTGCTAGAAAAAATACCTCATGATTCCGTTAAAGAAGTGTGAAAAGTAATTAGACATAGTATACAAAACTCAGAACCACAGCATATAATTCTTCTTAATGACAGCTCGTATTTGTACACTTGCCTTTTGCTAATTAATAAAGGAATTGTGTACCAACACTTTTTTCATGTTATGTCTTACTCAACTAATATATATTTTATATTTTATTAATTCCTTGGTGTTGGTATAATAACTGCAAATATAATACTAGTCAAGAGAATATACTAACTTACTATTTCACTAGAAAAAAATTAGAACTAATATTGAACACCTACAAGGATCTAAACAAAAGTATGAGTTTGGAATGGGTTATGCCAAAATAGCTCTTGATCTAGCAATTCGGGCAGACAGAGTTGAGGAATTCGTTAGTTACCTAAAAAATTTTATTAAAGAGGTAAAAAATAATTTGTTAAGCACACAAGACAATGCTAGTTCCTTAAGCATTGAAGATCCTTTACATGTACCACATAAAGGTCAACAGCCAAATAGATATAAATCCGGTGGTGAACCTTCAAGAAAAGCTCAACATATTGTTCAAGGTACTGATCAGAGAAATGAAGACAAAATCCAAAAAGTAACTGAAGCTTTGAATAATCAAGATTCAGAAAAAAAGATTAGAAGGTGTCATAAATGCAAACAAGTTAGTCATTATGCACCAACATGTCCAAATGTCAACTAATAAAAAATGTGGGGTAGTACTATATATAGAATTTTTGTTGTACATACATATGGTGCAGAAACAATATGTAGATTTGCTTCGCTATAGTGGTATATTTTTATAAAGATAAGAAGTTCTTTTTTTTTTATCATTATATGTAAAGCTATAAAGCTATATTAGTAAATCAAATACATAAATACAGAAATAAAGGATCTTCACCCAATGTAGGTGATATCATCTAGGGTGAAAATTAGTTAAAAACTATATGCAATATGCTATAGTAAAATTTTATCTCTATACCAACTTACTTTGCAACTGAGTTTGTTAGATAGTTTCTATAGCCTATTAATATTACTAATTAATTTTTACTACTTAATATGCTAGCTATTTTGATTTAATTTAAAACTTCTTTCTTAATGATTTCTAGTAAATATTTCAACATGCTTTATATTTTCTTTTTTGGCTATTCTTGCTTGTTATAACTTTTCTTTTTCTATTTTCTTTTTTTTCTTTTTTCTTGACTCTAAGTTGGCTTTTTTTTTTCTTTTTGTATTATACTATATAGTGCAGACCATGATACTCCCATGCAAAATACTCTCTATTAAAAAATTTCATAGTAGAATATAAAATATCTGAGAATATTTTTTATATAAAAAAATTTTTAATATGTAAAATTGCTTAGTATAGTACCCTGGATATTATACAAATTTTGACTATAGATTGTATTATACCTGGGTACTATAGTCTACACTGTATAGTATTATTTTTCTTTTTCTACTTTTGTACAAGCTTGTATCTTGTAATCTATATTTTCTTATATATTGTTTTTATTTAGTTTTTTTAAAGCTTTATTATATAAACTTTAAAGTCTATTTATTTAAAGTGAAGTTTAGTTATAGTTTATCAAAGTTTTCTTTTGTAATTAGACCTTTAATTTATCCTTTTTTTTTTTGTAGTTCTTTAGTTAAACTTTTTTTTTTTAACATCATTAATATTGTCTCTTTCTTTTTTCTATATTTTTTGTTATTTCTAGTTTATTAAAAATTTTTTTTATTTTGTATTTTTAATCAATAATAATTATACTGTATAATTAAAAAATAAATTATATATTAATTATTATAAAAAAAATTAAATTGTAAAAATAAAATAATAATAATAAAAGAAGAGTATTAATATTTTTACATCCTATTAATATAGATTATTTTAATTTATTTGCAAATTTTTTAATCTTTGATCTAAAATAACTCAATATTTACCTAACTAAATTTGATAAACTTTTTTATTTTAATTGTAAAAAATATCAAAATCTAAATAAAAAAAAGTTCATCAAATTTGATTGAATATGTTGAGTTATCTTTAATTAAGGTTTTTTAAAAAATTTTAAACATATACCAAATAGAAACTGTGTTAAAAATTGTTTTTAGCTTTTGATTAAATATATATTGACATTTATTTAACCAAATTTGATAAAGTTTTTTTTTTTAAATACTACTATATTCTACAAATAAAATAAAAAAAGATTCAAAATGTAGTGACTTAGTGTAGTGGTCTAGTTATCACCCTCTCCAAGTAGCAGGTCTAGAGTTTGAATCCCACAGATAATGATATTTGAAAAATAGGTCTGTATTTGCTTGACGGCTATGCTTATCGGTTGGATCCTAAATCTGTAACTTTGATCACACCATCTAGTAATGGGAGCTTTGGCACAATAAACCCAAGAAATTGGCATAACCGAAAACCCATTTGGGAAGTCCCAAATTTGGATATAATAGTGATCTTCAACAGTACCATAGGAGGGCTAAATTCAAACTGGGGCCCGAAATCAGAGAACCGAGCGATCAGATTCTTAAATGGGGAACACACTAGCCAAACCACCAGGCTGACACACTGGAGGAAAAGAGCATATGCTTCGAAAGTATGGACCAAGAGGAAAGTATCCTTCAAATACCTAAAGCCTGAGCAGACTGACCTATCCGAGTTGCCAGCTAGAAGTAAAAGAGGAACTGATAAAAAATCCGAATAAGAAGACAGTTTCAAGTGTGGGTACTGGGGTTGTTGTAAACCAATTAAGAGTAATGAGTATATAATGGGAAACTAATTAGAAAGGTTGTGGCTTGAAATATGAATCAGATTACGGCAGTGCTCTAAAAAGTAGCTTGAGATATGAACTCAGTATTGGCAGCATAATAGGTACTAACTAGGAAGATATTATAGAATATGCAGATGAATGCATGTGTAGAACATGTACCGCTCTGTTGGGCTTACCTTCGAGGATAGTAAAGTGTTTTAAGTAGTTGGAAATATATAGTGGTGTCACAAAACCTATATTTAAATAGTGAGTTATACCTGCGTTAGGTGATATTAGGCTAAATATGTTAAGATCAGAAGGTTTAAATGGGTAATCCCCTAGTCAGATTACAGGTACAGCAGATAGTGTAGAACCTTCGAGCAAACTACTTAAATTAGGCACTCAAAAGATGCATGTGTAGCTATATATACCTTCGTTGCAATATATAGTATCTAACTTTGCTTAATAAACTCTCGCCGACCAAGAAGATCTCTTTTAATTAAAAAATAAATAAATAAATAAAAAAAGATTCATTAAATTTAGTTAGGTAGATGTCAAAATATTTTCAATCAAAAATTTATAAAATTTCAAATATATACTAAATAGAAGCTATACTATAAATTTTTTTTAAACTTTAATCAAAAGATATTTTGACAATTTTAACATCTATCTAACTAAATTTAATGAACTTTTTTTTATTTCAATTGTAGAAAGTAGCAGAATTTAAACAAAAAAAAAGTCATCAAATTTGGTTAAGTAGATATTAAAATATCTTTAATTAAAAGCT